ATACATGGAAATGAGCATGTGCACATAGTTTTAAAAATGCTATCTTATGCTCAGATAAAAGGCTATAGTGCAGAGCAATAGAGGAGCAGGCAAAAGGAAAGAGGACCTAAGAAAAATACTTCATACTCTGCTAAAGAATTTGAATTCTACAGCCATTTACAGCTGATTGTTGCACTATAAATAAAGATCCAAGGTGCCATCAGCTTACCATTTGCATGTACCTCTATATGCACACACAACTTTATAGAATGATACAGGCTTTCCAATCAACTCATAACAATATACAGGGGAAAAAGATTGGTATCCCCTACTGTAAGAAATTCAATCATAGAATCAACTAGGTTGGAAAAGACCTTTAAGATGATCAAGTTCAACCATGTCCACCTCATGTCCACCACTAAACCTTGTCATTAAGGGCCTCATCTACATGGTTTTTGAACACTTAAGGGATGTCGATTCCACCACTTCCTTGAGCAGCCTGTTCCAATGCCTGAGCACCCTTTTGGTGAAGAAATTTTTCCTAATATCCAATCTAAACCTCCCCTGGCGCAACTTGAGGCTATTATCTCTTCTTCTATCACTTGTTACTTGGGAGAAGAGACCAGCCACCTGCTCTCTCCATCCTCCTTTCAGGCAGTTGTAGAGCATGCTAAGGTCTGTCCTGAGCCTCCTTTTCTCCAGGCTAAACAACCCCAGTTCCCTCAGTCACTCCTTATCAGACTTGTGCTCCAGACCCTTCACAGCTTCATGGCCCTTCTCTGGACCTGCTTGAGAAACTCAGATTAGACTGGTCACTGAAAAAGGCTCAGGCTTATAAAGAGGGAAGCAGTTTTGCTAGACTAATGCCTGAGATTTAATTTTTAAGTAGCATAATGGTTCCCCAGAGCTGGGGAACAGGCCAGGCTCTTCCTTGATCCTTGGCTACATTATTGAACATGCTCTGTGAGATATCTCATACTTGGATCTCTTTATTGATCTTGGTTTTGATTTTTCATTTTGCCTTTTTCATCTCTGTGCCTGTGAAGAGTTGCAGAAGGTCCTTCTGCAGTAGGTGTGGAACCATTGGTGGGACCATGTTATTTAGCTGTTTAGTAGGATATACATCATAACAGAAAGATGAGTTAGGAGGATGCTCCCAACCAACTCTGTTAATCACTATTCCTAATCTGATTGTAGAGATATTTAAGAAGGCTTTCTCTCAGATGATCAATATTAGCTCTCCCAGAAGTCAGTCTACCAGAAAGATGGCAAAGACAATACCACAGATAGGATTCAGTTTTAGGTGGCTGATTGAAGCTGAGGTCTTCCTCTGCTTGGATATGTAAGCAATGGGTCAGTAAATTCATCAGGACAAAATTCAGCGCTCAAGCATGGGCTTAAAATAGAAAGCATCGGTATTTTCATCTGAGTTGCAGAAACTCTGTACTGAAGCTTTGGTCCTAAGCCTGCAATACTTTGTACCTTGTATAACCAGGCATCATTAAATTTTCAATGTTATAAGCCAAATCTCAGGAACTATTATATCCTGTAAAGCATGCAACTTCCTTCTGGGACTTAGTTAATAAAAGTAATCTGTACTCAGATGTTTTTCTCACTGCTCTACTGAGTGTATTAATTGTTATTGCCCTATGCTATAGCAATTACTTTTAACCATATAGTAATTCGTATGTAAGCAGGTTACTGAAGTCATTTGAACTTTGTGATATATAAAAGTGCACGTTCAGTCTCAGCTGGAATGGGCCATTCTGCTTCTGATCTAAACTATTATTCTAATCTACTAATGAGTTCAGTTAACTCAGTTCCAGACTCCCGACAGTGGTAGCTCTGTGCAGGACAAAGAACCTGTACTATTTGGTGGGAATGAGAACAAATATAACCACACAAGCTAATTCCAGCCTCCACTGCCATTTGATTCAATGATACACTGCTTTTGCTCCTTAAGGATTAGCTTCCCGCAAGCTGAAGAGCTGAAAAGACCTTCTTTGTGTGTTTATGTTTATATGTTCTAGTGCAAATTTAGACTACAGAATACTGGTAATGCCATTTTAAAACATTATTATCTTTGCAGTTTGCCATGCAAAAGAGTTTGCTATGAAAGTACTCGTGGTGACTACAATGTGTCTCTGCCACACAATGAATATTTTAATTTTATATTTTTTTTAGTGGGGAAGTGTCAAAATTTAAAAGATTGTCCAGCTAAGAAGTGGAGGCTCAGCTTATATTTTTAGCCTAAATTTAACACAGACCACCAGGTTCAAAAACTGCATCACTTGAAGTCTGAATTTCATGGAGACTACATTAGTTCAAGGAAGAGAAATTAAAAACAAAATCACACACTATAAATCAAAATTAAGAATATGGGGAATAAAATGCAAACCACTAAAAACAGAAGAATAGAAGTTGAAAAGTATGTTTCATTAAAAGTAATTCAATGTTTAACTATTACTTGTAGCATAAGTAATAGGGGCAAGAAAATTTGCTTTTTATGTCTACATACATATACTTCAGAAATACAGCTATAGGTATGGAGAGATATACATAGAACCATAGAATAGTCAGGGTTGGAGAGGACCTTAAGATCATCTAGTTCCAACCCCCAAAACATAAAACATATGCTTAATGCATACTTACATAAGGAATGCTGCCAAAATTTGGTAGGTTTACAAACTCTGAGGTTGCAGTGGAGAACAGAAGTATTCAATAAATCAGAGCAAAACAAGATACCTGCCTCAGGTATTTCCTTTCTGACGTAGTACAGTGAAAAATCAGATTATTCTGCAAAATACTGGATGCAATAAATAAGTAAGATTAAACCTTGCTGTACAAAGCAAAAGCTTCATCCATATACTGAAGCAGAATTTTTGAAAATTAGTAGTCACTGTTTTGCCCCTAGAATTAAAAAACCAGCCTGATGACTACGAAAGTCTTCAAAACTTCTATAAAACAATATATGTTTATTTTCATTTGGGCAGCTTAACAATCCTGCTGTTAAGTCCTATGAAGGCAATTAGCTTACTTAAAGATTTGCTTACACCAAAAATAATGCACCTGTTACTGCCAAAGCCTACATATTTTCAGGTGTACTAGTTTTCTCTGTGTATGAAATGTCTGTTACTTGTCTTGATGCTCCCACACAGAGGCAGAAAGACTGGATTCCTCATTGTAACAATACTATTCATTTCCAGAGGCTGCCTCAGTTTAGAAACCAAATAAATCTTACAATATATTCATTGTCCTGGTGCTACTGCTCAGAAAGAGCTATGAATACCATACCTATTTTATCACAGTGTTTGGGAGGTGTATGGAAGGAATAATTAATGGTTTATATCCTTGTCCCCTATGCAGCTTTGACACAGCTCCTGTGGTTATGAATGTAAAATACATGCTTAAGCTCTGACCACTGGTGGTGACACAGTATCCCGTAATACAGCGGGGAGAGGAGGACTGTGATCTTCCAAAGTTCTCCTGAGCACCTGAGATGTGCTAATAAGATTTACATTTAGAACAATTGCTGAAAAATGAAATTTTATTGCCTCTATTGTAGTAATATGAGCCCAAAGATAAATTTGTTCATCATTTCTTATATCTGTCACCATAAGGACCTATATCAATTTAACCAGAAATACAACTGTAAACTAATATGAATCCAAAAATCAACCCTTGATTCAATGTAAAGGAAGCTTGATTAACTTCAGTCATCCAGCAAAAGTGATACAAATATATCCACAGTGGCATATTAACTCCCCCTGGAAGCCACATAAGACAGTTTTCTCAAGACTGCTCAGTTAAGCTTAATTTAACTGAATCTGTAAACGGATTCATAACACATGAGCCCTTTTGAAGTCACTGAGGTCCCCGATCCTTTTGAAGTTGTGTATTTTACTTGAGATCACTAGAAACACTTTTGAAAGTGTCCCCAAGAACTGTATTGCAGCTGGAAGGACTGTATCGCTCAGGAAAGTCTTCCCTGTTACCACAGTTTTGTCAGCATTTTATATAATTGAACATGCACCCTAAGCACAGGACACCAGTATAAGCAAACCTGCCAACTTAGTCTGTAATATAAGCTCTAAAAAATGGACCACTGCTACCAGTTTCATTTGCTATTTTCTTTTTCTGTTTTGAAATGGGTAGGCTTCCTAGTGTCCAATAGTAGATGCTCCAAATTCCCGACAGGCAAGGTTTGTTGTGTGAATCACACACATCAACGAAAATAAACAGGAAAAAGTTAGATCAATACTTTAAACACTGTGTCAAATATATAGATTGAGAGAGTTAAGTACATGAAATAATCAGCACAATGGCAGACTTCTTAGATACAGTGTCAGACCAACACATACACTGCAGGCTCCAGCAATATTGAAGAAGTTTTGGCAGGCATCTTTACCTGACCATTCTGCTTAAAAAATCTTAAAGAAGCTAGTAAATTAGCTAGTTAACTTTAATATAGTACATATCTCACAATTCTTTCAAGAAGCCAATACTCTGAACTTCTAATTCAATTGGAGTCAACCCACATTAAATATGATTGCCAGTAATACTGCCAGTAACAATAATCATAAACAAAGCATCAAACACTATAAAATAAATCACAGCTTTTCATGAATTTATGTATTTATAGGCCAGATTAGAATATTCTGACTCATCTCCATGAGCATTTCATTCCAAAACAGCCCATTTTTTTCAGTGATACATTCCTCAGCATGATTATTGGTATGTGGCCTGTGAGGGAAAGAAAATCCATCCTTCAGAAAAAAATTATTATTTTATACAGTGAACATTTAATAAGTGAGGCAAACTCTTCAGATGAAGGTTACATCTGACCTTTGGAAACATCTTTGCTTTAACCTTGTCACTAAAAGACCTAAGAGCTACATACAATTCTCCTGCTCTGCAAAGACCTTGAGCTCACAGCAGTTACAATTGCATGCAAAGACCAGATTTGTAAAATGTGATTCTCAATATACTTTCCTTTTTCTTTATTTTCCCCTCAGACTTACCTGGTTTCATCAATATAAACTGCCTCCAGCACAGATGCTGCATATTCAATATTCTTTTTTAAATCCACCACATTAATGTCACCCTTCTCCAGCTGCTTTACCAAGCATCTTAATCTGTGAAAAAAAAAAGAAAATAAAAATATCAGTGTGTTGCTTATAGCAAATTTTAGTGACTGCATTTTCTATTTTCTATATATGCTGTATATATATTTCTATTTTCTATATATTTCTATTGGAACCAACACAATAGCAAATGTAGAGGCCAAAGACCATCACTGCATCTCTTATCTTTTGTTTGAAATGGGCTTAGAACACACATAACAACCAGTTGTACATTTTTAAAGCTTGCTATATTTGTAAGATCTGTTAAGAAAAGGCATATACATTCCAGTAGGACAGAGAGAACTCAGTAATTACCATCAGAGTGACTTCATATTAATTTGTGACGTTACTATTATGCCTGAGTCTCTAATTTTTTTACATAATAAATAAAACTTTGCAAGTAGTCTTAGTGAAATTTTTCTGAGCTTAGGTCGATTATATTTTTTAAATATCCACAATAAGCTGGTTTTGCTTCATTTAAGTGTCTCATTTTATTTAGGCCTCCAGTATGTTTTTGCAGCAGAATTTGTATTTCTTATTTGCGTGAGCTAATGTGGAGCACTATTTTTTCCATGTTTACAGAAAATTTATCATTATACCAGACGAAAGATCGTGCCTATGGCATTAGAAAAATCCAAATATTTTCCCAAGTGTACTCTTACTTTTACATTACAAACATGGGTACGCCCAAAGTGGATTTTGTAATGCACCAACTCATGCCTCTGTAGCAATATATTTATCCAGATAAACTCCTTCAATACCAGATTTTTCTAAATTCTCTGATGAGAAGAACAATTCTGACACTGTTCAAATTAACCATACAGAGTAGTCACACCACTGCAGCTAAATGAAAATCTTATCAGTAACTGTGTAGAGCTGTGACTTAATAGATGCTTAAAGAAGTATGGGTATTTTCCTTCTTTCTGTGCTATATCTCTGAGTTGAAATAATCTATGGGTTGGTATCACGTATGACACAGATTTCTGCAATAAAAGATACATCAATATTTCAATGTAATTTTCATGAAATAATCTTTTTTTATGCATATGAAATGTGGAAAAATCATGTGAAAAGCATTTAGCTAAAAAGTGGATTGAGATTCAGCATGAAATTGAAAGAGCATATATAAGATGTACAGTATGTTATATAAAATGTTATATATACTATATATTACTTTTATTAGGCATATACAATATTTGACTTGACCTAATTAAAATGTATCAATTTAAAAAATGCAGTGATTTTCAAAACAAATCTCTTATAAACTTGGAAAGTACTGTTTGTTATGAAATCACTTTCATGACTTCTCTTTATATTTATTTGGCCTAGGGATAATTATGTCCAAGCTTGCAAGGATAATTTTAGCAAATGGAGTTTTAAGACCAGCCTCCTCGGTTCTCTAAGGTCTTAATTCAACTCAAATTAGCATAGAACATAACACAAATAAGGCTCTTAGCAACCATATTTACCTGGTATTTTACACAGTGCATCGCGTATCAATGGAATGGAAAATTTAGTGTTAAAAAATTTTCTCAGAGGAGTGAAGTGGGTGGACGAAATACTGTGGAAGCACATCTCCTACACAGAAATAACCTTATGTCTTGGGAGCCAGGTCCAGCACATAACTCCTTCCACTTCAGAGGTACCTATAAACTGAAGAAGCTAATTCATAGACGCTCACCTTGCAGTACACAACACACACACTGTAACTCTCCTGGGATGTCTGCTCCTCAGTAACGCACACAAACACGCATACAACCCCTCCTGAGCAGCAACACCAAGATGAGGTGAGTCTGTCAGCATCATCGCTACTAGCAAATAGCCTTCTACCACTTGCACTGTACTCTCCATGTTTGACAACCAGAGGGTTTAAATGTTTAACCAGCCTCACAGTGGATTATTTTTTCCCAATATCTGACTGGAATGTCCTTTGTGGCAACCTGTGCCCAGTGTCCCCCAACCTTCGCTGTGCACTTCCAAGAAAAGAATGTCTCTATCTACAGTACAACTTCCCACTAGGAAGATGGACACATAAAATTTTTCCATACTGCTGCTGCTCAGACATTTGTCAGGTGATAATCATAAGATCTACCCCACAAATCAGAAAAATGGACTTCTAATGCAGCAAAATTAAGTGGGTTATAACATCATATGAATAACCTGAATATATTCAACATATTATGCATTGAAGTGAAATAGCCACAGAGTTTAAGAGCTGACATTTCTGTAATTAAACTAACATTTTAGTAAAGGATAAATATGTCAATTTATAAGACAAACCAACAAATGTTAAAATACTCACAGGCCAGCATTATGCAAGACAAAGAAAACTGTCAAAACGACAAGGAAAAATAACAAAAAGGAATTATTTATTACTCCAGCTGTGTTGGGCAGGACTTCTATTTGTTTGTTTTCTTTTAGTTGTGTTATATATTGAAAACAAACATGAGAAATACCATTAGAAAACTTGAAATGCTACTTGAAATTTGAGCTAATTGTACTATCCTTCCTGTGAACTGTGCTACTAACAAGTAATGCACAGCAACAAGAAAAAAACCTGGAGGGGCTATTTTCTGAAACAGAAGAATAGACTGCTGGAACTGTTTCAAGGTGCAAAGAAAATTGTATTCAGAGTTAATATGACACAACATGAAAGAAAGAGATTTATAGAGAAAAAGAAACAGATTATGTCTCTGAAGATAACTGAAAACTGCATTTTAAAAACTAGAAGCCCTGGTCTGTAAAGGAGAAAGAGACATCTGCAATTAATAAAGGGCGTGGGTGGAGATCCATCTTCTCTCATATTGGGTAAACACCATTAACTTTGCTGTGGAATTAAATGCTTTTATGGGCAATCCAAATGCACTTTGCTCCTACCTATCTTTAACAGTGCTGTCTGTGAAGTTACCAGGACAAGTGTTTCCCCAGTCCTCACCTCCCCATGCAGCTGATGCCTATGCACAACTCGGGCACTAAGCTTTAATGCCCACCCAGCAACACAGGAAAACCATGATTAAAATGAGGATTTTCTCCTGGAGTAGCCAAAGTAACATGTTCTTGTTTAACAGCATCAAAAACACGACTCAGTTGTTTCCACCTTCCTTATTAAAATTCTCTCATGTTTGAATGAAAGTTTTGATAAATCTGCTGTACCTTTCAGGGTACCAAATTAACTGAGGGTAGTTTTTAGGTTATTTGAGAAGGATTCCTATGACAGTTTCAGTAACTACAGGAAAAAAAAGAAAGATAAGGAATCAGTGATTAAAAAAGACCTTTTGTAATGCCATCATGAGAAAATGTTTTCCTCTATGGAAAGAAGAAAACAAGAGAATATCTTTGCAAATACTGAATAACTGTCCTAAACGCAGACTAACAAGATAACAAAGGAAGGTGACAGGGATGGGATTACTTAAGAAGGGAGATTGTAAAGTAGGGACACGCACAAGTTGGACAATTTCAATTTCAGATTTTAAAGATTGTCTCTTCTTTTTCCAAGGGGAAATAAATTACTGGTGCTTGTTGAGAATAAATGAGAGTTAAAGGTGCAGGTTAACAGTCTTCAAGTACCAGAAGAGGAAAATTCACCCTGAACTTAACTCTGAATCTGAGAAAAAGACCCTGTGTCTGCTTTCAAAAAGACTGCCTTTATCTGCCATCTGAGTCTCCCCACCAGCAAGCACTGCAAAGAAACGGCTTTCTAATTTACACATCTGGACTTCACTTTAAACTGTTTTGGAAACTTTATACAAAAGAAAAAAAAAAAGTCCCTTGCCACAGGTCCTATTAAAGGAGAAGCGAAATAAACTATAAAAAGTAAACTGTAAACTAGCCCTGCTTCCTATTGCATTTTGAAATTAATAGAAGCCACTGTTGAAGATGGACAATGAACACATAGGTAATTCTTTGAAAGTAATAAATGTATGCTAATACTAATTACAGAGAAATCATATTAATATTCAACAATCATAATGCCAGTTTAAAAATTATCTGTGTTGGTTAAGACAACTCCAACTACAAGCTGTAAACTGTTATGTTCCCATGAACTAGTTCAGAAAAGCCTAACTATGCCAAATGTATTAATTCCTTGAAAACATTATGAGCAAATACTGACGTGTTAAAAAGTTTAAGGACAGAAAAAAATATTGTTCTCTGTAAACAGTTTTTTTCATGTTTTATTTGAGCTATTTAATACTGCATAATCAAATTAAATGGATAATTTTAATCCTTATTATGCAAGTGAATTGACCTTCTGAATGAACATTACAAACTAAAAACAGGCGGATGTGTAACGTGAACTTAAAAGCAAAAAGGCAACAATATGGTTAGCTACAGTTTAAATACCAATAGTTTTTAAAAACTTTGGGGAAGTAAGAAATTTTCCTCTAAAACTATTTAGTATACTGTAAACCAGTTTTTCTACCTGTAGTAATTTCTACCTGTGAAGAGTATTGCTCACCCAATAGTTTGTCATTTATCAAAGGCAGAAGTTATATCCTCACTCAAACATGAACACTGAAAAAGGGAAAATACCCAGCAAGTCCAAATCATTAACAATGGGAAGTTCAGTTCATCTATTTAAAACAACCCAATCCCAGAATCCAAGTTGTTCTGCATACCTACATATTTGGAATTCAAGAAAGCATTTGAATTAAGGAGAAATCCAAAATGGGAATAGCAAAACTTCTATCTTGGAAAAGTCACAACAAATAACACACATCTCTATTTCACTTGAATTCTAAAATTCAATTATTTTTATGTGAATCAGTATAAGTTGAATTTTACACTTTTCTGTTAAGATACATGTATAAAAGAATTCTCTGTCTAAATACACCATTCCCTCCAATAAATACTTTTTAATAATGTATATCAGAAATTTAAAAAAAAAATAAAAATAGTAAAAATGGTGTGAAATGGAATTAAAATACTGACTATGAAAAAGGAAAATTCCAGATACAGTTGTAATATTTGTAATACATGGCTATGAAAGACTATACCTGATCATATAAATAGAT